GGCGGAACCCGTGGGGGCGGGGCTTGTTGTGGGCGGGACCTTGGGACTGGGCCGGTAGGTGGGCCTAAGAAAGAGCAGAGCCGGCGGGGCGGGACCTGAAAGGGGGTGGGACCGGAGAGGGGGCGGGGCCGTCGGAGGGCGTGGCCATACAGGACTGCTGGTCCCCGTTGCGGAGTCTGAGAAGGGCCGAGACTGGGGCGGGGCCTTAAGGGGCTAAGGTTGTAGGTTGGAGCCAAGAGAGGGGCCATAGAGGGCAGGGGAGGTGTGGGTCTTAGTGCCAGGACCCAGGCCGCGGGGATTGCGGGGGTGTGGCCCAGGGACGCTCAGGTGCGCGTGGTCTTGGCGGATGTGGGCAGCGGGGAAGCCCGGGCTTGGGTCGCCCTCCGCAGACCCCGTGTGGATACTGCTTCTGGCGGCTCTGGGGCCTCGGGGTCCCGGCATCGCCCGAGAGCCCGGGGTTGGGGGTTGGGGATGGCTAGGGGAAGCGGGTGGGACACAGGACCCGGTGCCGGCCTGGGGTCGGGCCTGCGGAGCGCGGGTCACCACTGCCCCCCGGCGGCCTTACGCGGCGCTGCAGCCAGGGGAGGGAGCGGCTAGGACCGTCCTGCTCCAGCGTCCGGCTCTGGCCGTTTTGCGTGGCACCGTTGCTGAAGCCGGGCCGAATGTGGTATCCGGTTAGGAGAGGCCCTGCTCGGTGCTCAGCGTTCTCAGAAGTTTGAGGATTATCGTAATTATTCTGCAAAACGAGCTTCATTTACTTTGTCCGGCTGTGGGTCCTGTTGTGCGCTTGGCTCAGAATGGCTTTGCGTTTATGAATTAAGTAGGGACACCGTCACCCTGGTGGAGGCTTCCATCCCAGGAATAAGGTAGGTCCCGTTTGTTTTCAACTTCTGTTTTTCGCGGGAGGGAAATTACAATAGGTCGTGTAGATCACACCCAAATTTTCCTAACTGGTTTGCTTTCTTTTGTTTTATTAAGGGACTGTGGATTTCATTTGCATTGTATATTCTAGTGGGCAATATTTTGCATTTAAGAATGATATTTTTAAAATGTTTTATTGAGGTGAAATTCACATAACATAAAACTAACCATTTAATGCTGCCACAGACGTTGTCAAGTTCCAAAATATTTTCATCACCACAGGAGAAAACCTGGTAGCCATTAAATAATCGGTCCCTAACCACCCCACTCCTCGCGCCTTCCTCCAGCCACCACCCATACAATATGTGGCCTTTTGGGTCTGGCTTCTTTCACTTAGAATAATGTTTTCAGGGTTGACCTACGTTGTAGCATCTGTCAAGACTTCATTCCTGTTTATGGCTGAGTAATATTCCTTTAGATAGATCTGTCACATTTTGTCCATTCATCTGTTTATGGACATTTGGGTAGTTTCTACTTTTTGCCTGTTGTGAATAATGCTATAAACATTGGTGTACAGCAGGTCTCCGAATAACGTGATTTCGTTCAAAGTCATTTTGATAACATCGATGAGATGCTGTAGAAACTTAACTCTTGCTTATATCAATTAGTCTATGTTAAAGTTGATTTCATTATACATCATTTTGCTTAAAGTCACAGAACCTATCGATGATGTTAAATAGAGACTTAACTGTACGAGTATTTGTTTGAGTTCCTATTTTCAGATCTTTCAGGTGTATACCTAGGAGTGTAATTGCTAGGCTATGTTGTGAATCTATATTTAACTTTTTGAGGAACCACCAAACAATTTTCCACAGCAGCTGCCTATTTAACGTTCCCACCAGCAGTCCATGAGGATTCCAATTTCTCTACCTTCTTGCCAACACTTCTTATCTTCCCTTAAAAAACAAAACAAAACAGAACTATACCTATCCTAGTGTATGTGAAGTATACCCAAAACTACAAAACATTGTGATTTTTATTTGTTTTTCCCTAAGGGCTAGTGATGTAAAAAATCTTCATGTTCTTGTTGGCCACGTGTATATCTTTGAAGAAATAACTGTTCAAATCCTTTGCCCATTTTTGACTTGGGTCACATGCCTTTTTGTTGTTCACTTGTAAGAATTCTTTACATATTCTGGATACTAGGTTTTATCAGATATGAGATTTGTAAATATTTTCTGCCATCTAGATGTAAGTTTATCTTTTCATTTTCTTGATGGTGAAAAAATTTCAATGTTGATGAGGTTCAGTTATTTTCCTTTATGCTCATGCTTTTGGTGTCTTGTAAGAAACCATTACCAAATCCAAGATCAAGAAAATTTAGACCTGTTTCCTTCTAAGCATTTTATAGTTTAATCTTTTAGATTTAGGGTTTTGATCCAAATTGAGTTAATTTTTGTATATAGTATGTGGTAGGGTTCAACTTCATTGTTTTGCATGTGGATATCCAGATATCCCAGGACCATTTGTTGAAAGACCTATTCTTTTGTCATTGAATCATGTTGGCACTCTTGATAAACCAATTGAACGGTTAATATTTGGATTCTCAGTTTTGTTCCATTGGTCTATATCCCTGTCATTATACCAGTACCACGCTGTCGTGATAACTGTACCTGGGTAGTACATTTTGAAATCGGAAGTGTGAGTACTACAACTCTATTCTTCTTTTTCAAGATTGTATTGACTATTTGGAGTCACTAGCAATTCCATGTGACTTTTAGGATCACTTTTTCTGTTTCTGCAAAGAAAATAACTATTGAGATTTTGGTAAGGATTGCACTGAATATATAAAATGTTTGGGGAAATATTGCCACCTTAGCAAAATTAAGTCTCCCAAGCCTTGAACACAAGATGTCTGTTTTTCCATTTATTTAGGTCATCTTTAATTTCTTTCAGAAATGTTTTGTGGTTTTGTGTATACACGTCTTGTACTTCCTTGATTGAACTTATTCCTAATTATTTTATTCTTTTTGATGCTATCACAAGTGGAATTATTTTATAAATTTCTTTTTCAGATTGCTTATTGCTAGTGTATAGAAATACAAGTGATTTTTAAAATACTGATCTTGTATCCTATAACTTTGCTGAACTTCTTTATGCTCAGGAAAATATTAGCAAACTGAATTCAGCAGCATACTAAAATGATTATACAGTATGATCATGTGGGATTGTCCCAGGAATACAAGGGTAGTTCAACATACAAATATCAACCAATGTAATACGCCATATTACTAGAAGGAAGGGGGAAAAAACACATGATCATCTCAATTAATG